CTTTAGCCACTAAGAGGTCCGAAGATCTGTCGCGCTGTAATAGTCTGGCTGAGTTTTGGACTGAAGTTATAAAACGATGCAAAAAAGGGTAAGTGACTTCGAAAGCGATGAATATTTTGAACGTGTTCAGAGCGAGTTTACGTATGATTCTGATTGCTTGTATGGAAATTTCATTTTTAGGAAGGTAGCTGATAGGTTTGAGCACCTAGCTTCGGCAGTACTCATTTTTGCACTGGCTTGCGGGAGATTAGGTCTAAACAGAACTTACTTGAATCTAAAGAACAGCACCCAAAATCATCTGGATGATACTCAGGGCGTCGCAGATGGCATTAATAAAGTTACAAATCGTCGTGCTTTATTGGTTGCCTGTTCCGAACTTCTTGATTCGTTAGATATTACGGTTCATTTTTACTTCCTTTTATTCGCCTCTTTAGTTTGGGTTTACGAGGGAGGAGAGAGCTTGTTTTGGTGCGCCGTTGTGACTCATAGTTGCATGCTTTCTTCTGTGTTGTTTAAAATGTTTGCCGCAATGGTTACTGTGTAATGATTTGCAGGGTCATCCGCTTAAGTTTTGCTTTGATGACTTGTGGGATGGACTTTACATTTATTGTATCTACAGCGAAATTGCTATCAACAAAAAAGTATGTAAGATGCTGAGTAAGAAACCTTGCGAATTTAGAGCGAGAAGCTTTAACTGTTATTTATAGTATGTTTAACCTGGTCTGAATGGTAGGGGACTAATAGTCTGATTGTTCTATAGTGGGCATTTTCACTTCTGTAAAGATCATATTTTTCTCGTATTTTATAAAGTATGTGATATCGCTGCTATGAAGAATTGTTCATACGAATGTTTATATAGGTTTTACCGCTACGGCTACAGGATGAATTCGCTACGCTTCATGGTGCTATAGGAATGACATTTTCCTTACAAACTGATGTCGAAGAACGTTTATTTAGTCCAGTGACTCCTGTGGAAGATGAAATTTGTCAGAAAGGCAGCAGGCTCTTACTGGCTAGGAGTCGCCTTTTAAGGGAATATGCTGGAGAGTTCAAAAATCTTTTTTCTTCAAATACAACTGCGGAGGTGAACTTTTTTTTTGGTGTGATCCACGTTTGAGGGTAATGGCAAAATGAGGACTATATTTTGGTAGTTTGGCGTATTTGAAGTCTAAATTTTATAATGCTTATGCCTCGTGATTGTTACTTATATGCCGACGACTTAGGAACCGGTACTGTTCGAGAAATTTGTTGAAAAAAACCCGAAATATCGTTTTGAACCGATCACGGAAAATTTTGTAAATAATTCTGAAAGAAGTGACGATGGCCAAAAACGACTAAGAAGCAAACAGCAACAGATGTTTTATAGATGGTATGTACAGTCAGGCAACGGTTTTTTCGTCGAGTTTACCGATTCTTAACAGAGGCTACTGCTTTGTAGGTTTGAACTTTTTGCGTATAGTCTTGAAGGACGAGGAAGTAATTTACTAGTCGACTTTTCGAGGCCATTGCCGATAAGTGTTCGTAAGGAGTTACGGGAGGAGAGTTCAGACCAGCAACAGACAGGCAAAGAAAAGCGAAAAATCAAAGGTTTGGGGTATTTTGGGGAATATAGTTCGCATGGAATTTTTGGTTTTTGTGTTTAGAGGGGAAACAACGGAAAGAACCAACGAAGTCGAAGAAAGAAATGATACTGGAAGCAAATAAAAATAAAAAGAACGCTAAAGTTGCTCAAGATGAAGCTATCATGGTTAGTTTCGCGGCGAGTCAGGGTGTCAATGTAAGTTCTACTATTTTTTTAAAATATGCAGTTTAAGTTTACCATTTTTTGATTTACGTTCTCTTTTCTTTTTGTCATAATTTTTAATATTTTGAAGTGTCACACTGCATTTATGGAATTTAGGCTGTGAAGTTCCTTGAAGATTTGTTAGGGAAACTAGAACTGCCTGCGTCAAGGGCAAAGTGTGTATATGAACAAGCTCGCAGCCTGCTAAGTGATATTGAACACCTAGGAGGTGATGCAAATTTGAACTCGCGACGCGTTCATTCTGTTCCGCTTGTTGGAAAACTTCGAAGCTTAATGTTAGAACATTGGAACTTTCTGGATGAGAAGCAAAAACTTTTTGTGAGTTTTTAAAAAGAGTAACTTTCATAGTGGTATTCGAGGAGGAAGTGCTGTAATGGGCTTACTTGAGAGTTGCTTATTTGTCGTTAGTTGTGTATTTAGGTTACATTTCCTCACATCCGTTTTTGGTTCGATTTAGTAAATTTATTTTGTCGTTATGCTGTTTTAGTACCCACCTTCAAATGCTTTAAGGTAACAAACGCCTGGAAGTCTCTAGGGTTTGTAAAGAAAACAGGGCAGGGAGCAATTTATGAAGAAAAGTTATCGTTGAAAATGAACATGCTGTATTATCAACTTGAATTCGCTGGTGAGCTGATTGATATGCAGTCCGACCCACAGAAGGATGAGCGGGTTACTGGTTTCCGTCCGGATGGTTGGCAGCGACGTTTGCTAGATGCGGTTGACAGAAGTAAATCTTCATCAGTTCTATTCTTTTAAAGGACTTAAAGACGTGTATTTGCTTCAGTGTTGATTGCGAAGTTTCAGAGCAGTCTGCTCTTATAATTGCCCCTACATCTGCTGGCAAAACATTTGTGTCATTTTACTGCATAGAGCAAGTGTTAAGACGTAGTGATGAAGATATAGTTGTTTACGTGTCGCCAGAGAAAGCTCTGATTAACCAGGTTATTGTTTGCTTTTGGAACACCTCAGTACATTTAACAGTTTGCTAATATTGAGAAAAAAGCAAGTCTGCGATTATTATTATTTTTTAAAAACTGATCTAGCGTAGTGCTTTGTGCTATTTAAAATGGAGGATTGAAGGGAAATGAACCTGTGTTTGGTGGATTTAAGGCTTTTACCGCCTTACATCATCTACAGCAGTGAAGCAGTCACTCTTCTGTTTTCCAGCTCGTATTTATGTAGTTTTTTAATTTATATCTCTGCTGATGACAGGTATGCGGTTCAATTTATGCGAGGTTCAGGAATAAGACGATGACTGGTGGAAAAAGCTTATTTGGGACTTTGACGAAGGAGTATAATGAGAACCCATTAAACTGTCAGGTACATTTCGGTAATTGGACCGTTCATCCTTTGCCGTCGTGTAGTTCTGTACATAAATTTGTTACCATTTATGACGTAACATCATCTTTAACTTCTTCAATGGATTTTACAATTTTTGTGATAGAAGGGACCTTGACAAGGCAAACTGAGGAAAAAAGACATTGAGTTTAATATTGGTCTGTTGGGGAAACTAAAGAGGGTTTGGGTATTCGATTTCTGTCCTTATATTTTTTTTTTCTTTGAAGTGAAGTAATATTTTCGCCATTTAATTTCGTCTGAAGTGTTGTTTTCTATTAAATATTACTTAGGTGTTAGTTACTGTCCCAGAATGTTTCGAAACGATTTTGTTGTCAACTAACCCAAAAGTTCGTGCAGTAGCATCGAGAATTAAATATGC